AAATTAAGGGAATTTGTGACCCCCAGAGCAAGCCTGAAGGAAATAGTAAAGGGAGTCCTTCAGATAGAAAATCAACTACATCGGAAATGATGCAGAAGTGAAAATATTTGGGAACATATCACCCTGACAGGGAGCCAGGTGAAGTCCTCACAGCAGTACAGTAAAGCTTAGAAGGGAGTCCAGGGAGTCTAGGATACAATGTTGTAATCGACATCGTCGAACAAAAGCAGCGGAGGAAGAAGGGTCACTGGTGTAGTTAAAGAATTTCCGTCTGGTCAGAAAATTAAGGAACTTTCAAGGTATAACAGCCTGCTTGAAATGCAGGTGGTCAAATGTAAGCCTCATAGTAACCATAGAGAAGATTAATAAATCGACTCACTAACATGAAGAGACTCAGAGAAACACAAACCCAAGCAGAATGGTGTGTTTCCCCACCAATAGCCCCAGCATTCTTCAGCTGTTTGACAATTGCCTCTCTACCCTGGGAGGTATGCTTGCAAGCACCACCATGCCATTTTTTATTGTAAAATATGTTACTGTTAAAAAAGTATTTTTAAAGGCATATCCTCAGAGAGAGTGGCTGGCAAGTAAATGCGTACTGTGCATGTTCTCCACAGAAAGACGGAGCGAATAAAAAAGCCCGTGCACCAAAAGATGCAACACAGAAACCAAATACAAACAAAGCACCTACTGCCCACTCAGAAGAAAACAAACCAACTGCAGTTAAGTCTTCCTGGGGGATAGTCACACTGATCATCGATGGCTTAAATCTACTACTCGGGAGACAGAGTAGCAGAATGGGATTAAAAACATGACCTATCAATACAATAGGTTGCCTACAAGAGATCCATACCTTGGGGACAAAGATAGAAATATATTTAAACAAAAGGAAGAGAAAAAAACAAAACAAATACACGTCAACATTAATATCTGACAAAGTAGACTAAGTCAAAATCCACTGAGAGACAAAGAAGGATGTTATCTAGTCATAACAGAGATAATTCATCAAGAAGTCATAGCAACTATAAAGATTTACATATCCAATGTCAGAGCTCAGAATTTATAGAGCAAATTCTAACAGAAATAAAAAGACACAACCAGTAGAGATTTCAATACATCCCTTTAAATAATAGAACCGCAAAGAAAATCCAGGAAGATATAGATTTCAATAAATACTATTTACCAAAGAGGCCTCACAGACACACATAGAACATACTACCTAGAATGACACAATACACATTCTTTTCCATGTACACAGGAAATTCTCCAGAACAGGTCAGCTTACCAAATCAAACATTGGTAAATTAAAAAATAATCTTAAAATGTATCTTCTCTGGCTGTATGAGATCAACAGTAAAAAGAATTAGGAATAAGGGAAAACCGAGAGAATAAAAAACACAGTGGTGAACACTTGATTCTTAACCAAAATGTCAGCGGTTTGAACCCACCAGGTGCTCCTGGGGAGAAAGACTTGGTGACCCACTTCTGTGAAGATTACAACCTTGGGAACTCAGCAGGGTCACTCTGAGTCAAAAAATGATTTGATGACTCCCAGCAACAACACCAAGCTCTTGGTCCATTGAAGGAATCAAAAGTGGAGGAAAATGCCCCTTTTTATAGGATTCCTTGTGTCTGGCTTTACCATTGGGCTCTGATGCCACCTGAAGGATGTACCTGGATTGGAATGCAGGGAGGGCCGTTCCTGATGTCCTTCTGTGTCACAAGTCTCAAGCCATCAGAGTGCTCTCCAGAGTGGCAGCCTCAGAGGTTGTGAACACATGGCTCAAAGAACCCGTGTTCCTCCAACTATAAAGAGTAACTGTTAAGAGCTGGGGCACTTGTTCATAGATGCTGATTAGAAACACACATTTAGTAGTCCAAACTGAGTCAACTAATAATAAAGATAACCATTCTTCACTTAGAACCATTTTGTCCCAGCACAGCTCTTTTTCTATCTCTATAACCCACTGTCCTCCAAAGGTGCTTTTTAAGTACATGTCCCAGGTTCACTGAACTGGGATCTGAGGGGGAGGTCAGGCACCTGAATTTTAACCACATCCCCACAGTCGACAACCAGCCCCAGCCACCACTCAAAAGCGTAAGACTTGACAAAGCCACAGCTTATTTTAATAAAGGTGCTCCTCTCCTCTTCAAGGTTCAATGTCAGAAAGACTCACTGTTAGCTTATGGAAGTCAACATGACTTCTATGCCCCGGGCAATCAGCCTTTTATTGCTGTGGATCATTTTACTCTTACTTAGTAGAGGAATTTTGTCGTTTCTTCCCACCTCCCACCTCTCTACGATGTGCTGTGGCTGCACCACCAATCCCTTCTCCTGTAGCTGACAGCCTTTTCCCACTTGGACAATCTGAGCTTCAATGGCCCGGAAGGGAAGATGCAACGTTCAGGTGCAGTGTAGTACCTTCCCTTTTGGAAAAGCTCTACTTTGACCTTAACCTTCCAACGTCCCTGGCCTTACTGTCTGGGCGTCCTACAGGCATGCCTGTGCACTGCTGAAGGCTGACCGGGGCACCTCACAGCAAAGCACACCACGACACCCTCTTTCTCATTAGGACCTGTCCCGGCAAGACTTACGCACCTCAAAGTCGGTTTCAGCAGGTTGTCCAAGCAGGCTCTACTCACTTTTTGATTTCACCCTCCTGTCACCACTATAGTGAGGTTTCCTTAGTAACATTATGAAGACTGCCACCAAGGCTAATGCTGCCCCCAGGCCAGGTGGGCCACATGGGCTAACTTCCTGAACGACTCCTGACAGGAGAGGGGCGACGATGCGGCCCACCGCGGTCACAGACTGGCCCACCCCGATGAGTGTGCCGCAGGCCTGTGTCCCACCCACAGTCAGCTGGAGGTCCGTGATACACGTCCTGCCGAGAGCCGTGGAGAAGGACAGGAGGGTGGCGCAGAGAACGACGACCCCCACGGTATGGGCTGTGGAGTAAAGCAGCAGCAGCGTGAAGGTGAGAAGGCTGGAATGGAGCAGGATCCGATGGGCGTTGTGCTTGTACAGCCTCAGGATGGGCCCCACGGCAAAGCCGGCCAGGGCCCCCAGGGCGCTGCTGTAGCTTATGAGGTAGCCCGTCGTCTTGGGCTTCACCCCAAAGCGTTCTTCGAGGGCCAAGACAAAATTACTGTAGTACAGCATGATGGCCACAGCCATGAGCAGGCGCACGGAAAATATGTCCCACATTTCAGATAAGATGAGGGTCTTAATGCTTCGCAAGGCCAATGTGACTTCCGTCCAGGGATGCCAAAGACTCGTTCTGCCTACGGTGGCCTCGTGGGCAGTCGTTGCACCCTGCACGCGATAGCCCGCTTTTCCGGAACATGTGTGGTTCTCACCCCATGGCAGACCATTCTTTGTAGTGTTGCATCTCTCTTCGCCCCATGGAAACAGCCAAACCAGACCTGTAAAATCACACAAGATCAGTTCCACTGAGTGGAAGCCACGGCAATCGTGTGGCGCTATGGCTGGATAAGCCATCATTTGTGTTACAATTATTAACCTGCACTTTAGATAGGACTTCACCATCTAGGTTTTAACAATTTCTAGAGTTCCCCATATTTTCATGCCATGCTGGATTCAGACATAGGTTTTGCTGACTCAACTCACTGCCAGCGACTCCATTCTGACTCATGGCTACCCTAGAAGACAGTGTGGTAGTTACACAATCTCTGAAGGGTTGGAGTTGGTCTGTCAATCATTTGGATGACATCATTTGGAGGTGCAAAGGAGATAAATAGCTCGCTGGAGTCAGGACACACACACACTCTCCCTGCAAGACATTCCTGTTGAGAAGTTCCATGTGGAGCTATACGAGAGCCCTGGAGCTGAAGGAGCCACGTGGAGACCCCTGCCAGTGCCGATGCTTCTACTGCCACTGGATCCACAAGACTTTCCACCCACTGGCCTGTGATCTTCCTGCATTTGGCGTCATTGCATGTGTTTTGTGAGTGTGAAGAGGAATTTATAGATTGGCATTGGACATGTGGGCTAATGTTGGACTTACAGACTTGATTTGGATTGGGCTGGGATGTTTTCTCAATATTTAATTGCTCTTATATATAAAACTCTTCCTTATAGGAATATGAGTGTCCATAAATTTGTTTCTCTAGTCTATCCAGACTAACACAGACAGGGAGGGTAGAACTGACTCTGTGGTCTGTGAGTTTCCAAGATTGTAACTCGTTACAGGAGTGAAAACCTCATCTTTCTCCCAAGGGGCAGCCAAATTGCTGACTTTACTGTTTCAAACTTTAACGTTTCAAAACGTTAGCAGCGCAACCTGTGACCACTACACTACAAGAGCTCTAAAGGACTTGCTAGTCACCTTAAAAACATTTTTTTAATTGTATCTACAAAATAGTTACTATTTTCTTTCCCAACTTAAGAGTCTAGGACAGTCTGCTATACCCAATTTATTTTATAGCTACACTTTATGATTTACATTTAACACCTTTTCTTCACTTGCTTTCTAATTTTCTGCCCATCCATCATCTGACTACCCATCATGTACGCAGAGCTAAGTGCTCTATGTGCTAAGTTCTGTATTAAACACCGGGAATTCAGTAACAGACAAGCCTTATCAAATCCCGGCCCAAAAGGTGATTCGGGCAAGTAACCAGGTAATTGCAGTATAAGCACGGCCAGACAGCCTGGGCTGGGAGGTAGGCAGGGACAGCTAAACAGCCATGACTACCAGAAAGAATGGGCGTGGCTCCATGGGCTTTAGTAAGTCACAGTTTGCACAACCTTGTAGATACTCACATATGACCCTCAAGCAGCAGCGAGAAGCTCCATCCAGACCCTCCTCTCTCGATTCTCCTGTGACCATTACAGTCCTGACTCTCTCTCTCTCTACACTGGTCATCCAAATGGAACCACAGTTTGCCACCCTAGGGCCTCAGACTGTCTCAAGTTCAAACTTGCACTTCTAGGACGTCTCTTCCACTGATCTGGACCCCTTTTCTTAGACCTCCGGTGCAATCTCACTTGGGTCAGTTGCTCTTCAGCTAGGCTGCATGCTGTTCTCTGTACATTCATTAGTGTGCATCTGTGGATTCTCCAAACACAGCATAAACACGTTGGCCTGGGACAAATTTATGACAGAAAATTAGACACATGAGAAAGCAGGTCTGGACTTTTCCTCGATCTCTCTCTCAGAGAGATTGTGGACGTTTCACAAATCGTGAAGGAATGGTAGCTGATGAATTATGACAAAAATAACAGTAAACAGGATAATAACAATGCTAGCCATTGGCATGTATTCCTGAATGCGTCCCTCTTACAGTTCTCTGATCATGTGTCTGAATTGAGTTTTGCTGTCCTGGCCATAGAGATGCATGCAGGTTTCCCCAAGGCCATGCACTACTAAGTAGCAGAGCGGGGATATGAACCCAAGTATGTTGCGATCCAATCCAGAGTTTGAGTATTTGACCTTGAGAACGGAAGACAAGACAGAAAGATCTGAAACTGAATTTCAGGTTACCTTATTTTGAACTGAACTGAAATGAATAAAATGAAATTCAGAGTCCCCTTGCAGTAAAAATTCTGTGGACAGAGACTTCTGATCCCCTCCCACTTCACGAGGGGGCAGGACAATGAAACTCCTCAGCCTAGTGCTGATTCCTGAGGCGGGGGCCACATCCTCCCCTGTCTTACTCATTCGGACACTAACTGTGCCTCCCACAGCACCCTCCACTGCTCCACGGGCCCGGGAACTCACTGCAATGGGCACACAGGATGCACAGACCACATGCACAATTAGGGACCCTGTTAGGGAATCTAGTACGTTAAAATGCAGGATCAAAATGCTCCAGACACATTTCTTTGGTTAGGACAGACTTCTTAGTCATGTTCACAGGCAGGCTTCTCTCTGGTCCTCAGTTTCTCAGCCCTGTGGCCTCTTGGCCTCTGCCCTACATAGTCAGTGTTACAGAGCTCTTCTGGGGCTGTCAAAAAGTCTGCAAAAGGGCATGCCACACCGCCATAAGCCTCAATCCCAAAGTGACCAGTCAGCTTTAGGCCCATAGATTAGCAAACCTAGCTTCCCCAATTAAGTGCCTTGCACTCTGCAGACAAGATTCCTGCTGAAAGGCTCTCGGCTTTGCTTGCTCTGTGGGCCCAGGAAGCCAGCCACTCCGTCTCATGTACTGGCTCTTGGCTCTGCAGCTTCTCTGGTGTCCCAGGCTTCTGTGTCTGCACCAAGGAGGTCTGTGGTTTGGTAAAATTACTCGGGATGGCTCTTCTAGCTATGTCTTTGTAACTCCCATCAAATCCTTGGGTGGAACCAGAAAAGACAGTGTGTGAAGCACTTACTAATAGAAGGGATTCATCAGCTTTGCCATTCTACTCAGTGTATGCATAAGCTATTTCAGAGCCAGGGAGAGAGCGAATCCCTTGACCATCAAGAAAGAGGAGCCACCAGCAGAGTGTGCATGAGATCCTTGCCTGGAGTGGCGGAGGCGGCAGATGTACCAAGGTCATCAAAGAGCAGTGGAGCCTTGGTAAGATGATGCAGCAGAGCTGAGTAGCAGCACTGAGAGTCTGAGGCAGATCAGAGGTCTCTCACCCCGCCGTGGAACAAGGAAGAGGCCAAGGGACTGTGAGGTCAGGAACCAGAGAGAGGCATGCTGCTCAGCATGATGAGAAGAGGCATTTCAGACATTTCCAACCTGGTAGCTTCCTCAAGAATCCTGAGTATTGTCTGAGTTCTATGTGGCCACTGCAATGAATTCTGGAACCCAGCCGAGAAATTGAGTGCCCTGGGAGTGGTGGCTGATGTCAGAGTCACAAAGGGTGGAGGCAGGAGGCACGTCTTGCAGAAGTGGGTGCTGGGTGGGTGTGGAGGAATTCTCCTCCTTTGTGTACCTTCCATTCCATTTCCTCAAGGTTCCATGTGAAGGGCTCTCTGGGCCCAGAAGACGCAGCTCTTCTTTCTTGAGAGGATGAGTCCCCCTCTTCCGCTGCTGAGAGGGCTCATTTCATACCCAGCAAGATGGCAAACTCGACCAATCCCCCTTGAAGAGGAGGCCCCGGTTTGTACAACCACAATCAACCTTGTTAGCAGTCATTCACCACAAGCAATCAGCCTCTTCCCCAAACACCTTCTCTTCCCCAGACCTGTCAGAAAAGTGTTCATTTGGTGGGAGTTAGGAAGACTATGTGAAAATAAGCCATATCAAAGAATTCCCTACACCACAGTTGCATTAGGCACATTTCAAGTGCTCAATAGCCACATGGGATTAGTGGCTTCAGGACTGGATGGCACAGTTCTACATCTTCTTGGCCACTGATTGAACAAAGAATAGTCAGAGAAGACTGCTGGGAACACCTCGTGGGAAGTCCTTGCTGATAAAAAGAGATCTCCTCCAGAGTACATGCCCCTCTTGCCGGCTTCTCTTATCGTTGTTTCTGTTTTGTTTTGTTTTATGCCTGGAATGGCCATGCTGCTTGAAGGTTCAGGCGTACCTTGTGTTTGTCAACTGACAGGAACACAGTGAATTCACTGTGGGAGACAGAGTGTGCATCTGTGATGGCTTGGGCAAGAGCAATGATCAGCCCAGGGCTTACCTCCAGTTTTCCAAAATGAGAACAGTGCAGCTCCATGAGGTTAAGCCGTTGTAGCTGACCACAGCCCAAACTGATTCAAATCCACGGATATGCTTCGGGTAGAGCAAGATATTAAACAGCACACTCATTGGTGAACCACATGCAAAACTCCATGACCATTCTGTGTGTTCATACACCGGCTCTTGTACTTGAATGACAGCACATTCTTTGTCCCTCTCTGTGCATAGAAAGGTGACTGGTCACACAAGCCAGAAATGTGCTCCAAGTAATTTTATCTTGATTTACACTGATTCAGGGTGGAAGACTCTCTGTATAGGCCTCATCTCCTACCTGAGGTTATAGATGAACTTTTTGACTGAAAGTCCTAAAGTATCCCCATGAACTTGAGACTAATTTCCTTGTCCTGGTTTTCTAATGGGGACTTTACAGAACAGAGACGCATTTTCTCACAGTTCTCAAGGCCAAACGTTCTCATCAGGGTCTATGTCCTGTCAATGCTTTTTGGGATCCCCTCACCCCTAGCTTCTGGTGGTGGTCTCAGCACTTGGCATTCCTCACAGCTCGAACTCTCCTGGTCTGTCCCCACTGCTCGGAGACCCTACTCAGAAAGCGGTAAGAGAGGGCCTCCTCTAGCTGCCAACCACAAGGTCAGCAGTTGAAAGTAGCAGCCGATCTGAAGGAGTGAAAGAGGCTTTCCACGCTCCGAGAGCGTTATCGTCTCAGCAACCCACAGGGACAGTGGTGGTAGGGTCGGTGGGACCACTGTGAGTTGGGATGGACATGATGGCTGTGAGTTCGGTTTTGGGGTTTACTCAGAAGGAATGAGGTCAAGGAACCACCCCACTCCAGTCGCACGACATGAGAAAACTCAACATGCACACAGAGGCACATTCTTCGGTCGAGCGGCTAGGACTTCAACAGCTTCTGGGGGAACACCATGCAATCCATGATGCTCACGAAATGTGCTTCCAAAATTCAACCTGGCATTCATCTCTCCACGTGGAACCCTGAACATAAGGATTCGCAAGGTTGCAGTTATCACCCCTCATTTTGTAGACCAGGAAATGGACGAGTACAGTGATTTGCCCAAGGCTACACTACCGAAAAGGAAAACAGCATGAGCTAGGCTCTGATTTATTAAGTGGCCTACTCAAGGACTTGTCTTTCCAGTCTTAGCTTAGAGGACTATGAGAGACTACAACATGCTTTAAAGCACCAGCGCTTACAGTGCATTCATCAATTACTAATGGGAATCTGTCTGGGGTAGGCTGGGATCAATGATAAAACCTTTGCCCTTGTCCAGCTGGCTGACTTACTAAGTGTGGGGGTGTTTGCTGGGGAGTGGAGGTGGGCAAAAGAGGCCTGACAGAAATTAAGGAAATGAATTAACCCTATTTCAGAAGTGCTATGAGGAACATTGAGCTATGTTAGGCAGAATGATCAGAGAAAGCCTCTCTCAGAAGGAATCCTTTGAGACTTAAATACTCAGAAGAGTCAGTAAAGATACGCAGCAAGTGCAGGGGGAGGAGGGAGGGAGGACCACAAGACCCTGAGGTCATGGGAATGAGCCTAGCAGAGGTGAAGCCAGTAGGGAAGGGGGTAGCACAGGCTGTGAGGTGCATATGTGTTGGATGTTGACGTCTGATGGGAGGTTAAAAGTATGCTGGGTCTACCTTTCAGTTTTCATGGGGCGTCTGACGCCTACCTTGAGACAAACAAGTAGTGAGGGGATGAGAGGAAAGTTAGTCACTGACCAGGATGAGGGCACAAACCCAGCTTCTCAGGATGAAATGTTAACTTACCCGCATTCAGAAGGAAGACAGAGAAACAAATGACGGATGCTACATAAAACCCGCCATCGAGCTCCGTGAGGTAGCCACCAACCACGGGGCCCAAGATGAACCCCACACCGGATGCTGTGTTGAACCGTCCGATCACCAGGGGCCGTTCCTTCTCCACAACCAGATCAGAAAGCAGAGCCCGGGAGATGGAGAGCGTGTGCTTGAAAAGACCTGTAACAGGGCAGGGAACATTCGGTAACATGCTCGGTAGCATTTCTCAGGCCAAAAGTATCTCACTTTTGATTTTACACCTAATGACATCTGCTCTCCAGTTAGGCCTGCAGATTCCGCTGAACTTGGACTCCTGCTTTCTGCAGGATTTCATAGCATCACATTCTTAATTCGTCACCTTATCTCTGGTGACCTCGCTCTGGGGTTTTCAGCTTTGTCACCTCCCTTCGTGACTAACTAGGACTTTCAATGGTTCATTTATATGGCGACTTGGGCGTGTAGTTTTACTACAGCAGTTCATTTTTCATTCGTTCAGACCAAAACTCCACCCTCACCACCACGGAGTCAGTTGTAACTCACAACAGCCCTCTAGGATCAGGTGGGACAACGCTTGTGGGTTTCTGAGACTGTCACTCTTGACAGGAGTCGAAAAACTCCTCGTTCCCTCTTGGGGTAGACTGGTGGTTTCAAACTGCTGACCTTTTGGTTAGCAGCCCAAGGTTTTACCCACTAGGCCACCAGGACTCCTTTGACAGAGTCAGCAAATATTACTGCATGTCTTCTCTGTGTCTAACACTGCTCTTGACCCTGTGAATACAGAAAAAAACTAGAGAGAACGAACAAATAGACAAATAAAGAAGTAAATAA